AATAATAAACGGTCTACTGAAGCATGGCTAGGGACAATAAGTAGTGCCAGTAACTCACAAGAAGATTTGGACAGGTTTTATACAGACATCTAGACTAAGAGGTACAAAGAAGTTAAATAAAAACTAAACTCGGTTTTTGTGGTATTCTATTATACAGAACAGTACTGTTCGATGAAAATTGAAAACAGTGTGAAGCTGCTTAGAGGAAAATCTCTATTGCGTCGATTTTCTTTACAACAATTCCAATTGTTTCCCCAACAGTCTGAAGAAGATGGAATAAACGGTTCGCTGAAGGGGCCAGCAGGCCAGCACTGCTCCACAGAACTGCCAAGAAAACAGATTTCAGACATGCAGCGTGTCTGACAATTTTTAACTGGCACCTTCTCCCCCGAGCGTGGAAGCCAATTGGTATGACAGCAGAACGGAGGCAATGTAATTGGCTGGATGATGTCAGTCACACGAGGGCACAAGGGGAGGGGTCCCTGTGCCATCTGGGTGTCCGTCAGCAAACCGTTAGATAATCCCGGGGTCCGTCTACGCTCTCCCGTGCTGTCCTGATGACAACTGCTGCTAGTTGATTTGCCCCGTTTTTGGATCGGTGACACATTCATACAACGCTGCAGCTCATACTGGAACAACTGACTCCATCAGCAAAACATTAACTTTAATATTCTTTTCTTAAAGAAATAAAAAGGGATTCAAGAGGAATTTTTCTTTATTTTGTAAATACATTATTGCATGTTAGGGGTGGGTGAGAATTCAGTCACAATACTTTGTGGTATTATTGTGATATTGATGAAGATTATGATTAATTTTCTTTTTGGAAACTATGGCACTCCATGGAAACTCAATCATAGCATTAAAACACTTAATTCTTGAAAAACATTCCCATTTAAAACAGGCTTCTTCGCATTAATGTGAAAATTTGGGCCAATAGCAATATCCAATATTAATATTGCTGTTAATGCCAATAAACAATTTTATATTTATTTTGAGAAAAATGACCAGGAACAGACGGCCACAAGATAAAAGTAAATATTGTTTGTTCACATCGGATCGACACAAAACATTTTAAAAACTGACGAAAATCAACCGATACCGATATTAGTGCCGATATAGCGTGAATCCCTTCTGCATTTAATCATATTTTCAAATTTACTGATATTTAATGAGGCTTTTGTGGAACAGTGGAGAAAATAGCAGAAAAAATTTCCAATCGTGCTGTCAGTTTTGTCTTGCATTTATCATGAAGATTCTTATAAGAAATTTTTTGCAGTAAATGATCAACGATATAAAAACTGCCCACCCCATCTGCAAGTTAAATGCGTATTTTGAAATCGAGCACTGGGCACATTATTTTCGTAATAAATAGAAGTATTTGCAGGATACCAACATAAAAAAAAAACATTTTAAACCAACTGGATCAACAACACTACCAAAGAAGAGGTGGGGGAGATAAAATTTAAGGTATAGGAGTTTAGCATATGATTAAACCAAATTAATCAATGTCCACCTTCAGGCCTTCCAATATGTTGAAAAAAAAAAAAAAACTACCACGCACCACAAAACTAACTAACAATGACAGAATAAGGGCAGCGAGACATAGATAAACTACAGTTACAATGTTTCTGTCAACAAACTTGGGACAAAGAAGGAAAAGGAAAAGTTGAAGCGTCTGTGCAGAAGCTGAAAATATTTTCTGCTACCTGAGCTCCTTGTTGTTCAGACACATTTCTCGTAAATCGAGGAAGCAGACAAAGAGCGTGCAGTTTCACCAACAACTTCTAACCAGTACTGAAGGCCTTTGTGTGGGAGGGCGGCTGGGCCAGACAACTACCAACAGCTGCCTCAGTCCATAACCAAATGCACAGGGAATGGAAAAAAAAAAAAAAAGTATCCACAAATCCACACACCCACGCAAACAGAAGCCTTACAGAAATTCATGCACACAAACACACAGTGCTGCCTCTGTCTGGCTATCTCTGGTATCCTGTAAGGCAATCCCCAAACCAGTAACACTTCATTTCAGTTCAGTGCTGTCCTTTCCAGAATCACTAAACCATCAACAGAAAAATTTTAATTTCCACAGCATACATTTATAGACAGAAATTCTAACTGCATCTCATTTTTTTATCCTTGAAAGCTTGAGCTAAGGAGCTGTCATGAGGTTGCCGTTGTACAATTAGCATTTCAAACACTTTGTTTCCTTTTTCCGGGATGCATCATCGTGTCAAAGGTGGTTATCCTTTAGATTTTGGCAGAATTTCCCCCATGTCTGTTCCTCATCCAACCCTTCCCCCCAAAATCCTTCCGCTTGCCAATTTCCGTCGGCCCCACAGGGGAAAAAATGATCTGAAAATATCACGGACATGTTCTGTTTTTGCACAAGCAACGTGTAAACAAGAAAGGGCCGACCTAAAAAGAGCCTTCCTAAACATTTTCTCCTTTGAAACAACTCAGTCAGTCAAGGCAGCCTGAAAGGGGGAGGAGAAAAACAAGTACTAGAGGGTGAGATGGAAGAGGCTGCTTTAACTTGATTCATCTTAGCTGACTGATCGCCAGAGCAGCGGGAGGTCAGGGACTTAGGAAGGAGGCGACGGCAGGAGAAAGAGGTTGTCATCAAATGACAGGAAACAGCCAGCGGGGTTAATGAGTTTTTTGTGCAACAAAGGGATCCTACACATATTTATACTTTTCTAAACCAAGGCTGTTCAAACCAATTGAAAAATCTCTTCCTTCTTAACGAAATGTAAACAAATATGAAGTGATGTCAGATTTTAGCAGGACTTCACTTTTGTTGTTGGTAAAAGACCACAAGACATTTCGCCTACTAGCGCTAGAGACGCGAATTTGTTTTGGTTATATTTACCCAAAATGTGCTGTGCTATAGCCCACTTCCTGCTTTAGGAGCGGTCTCTGGTCAGCTTGCATTAACGTATGAATTCAAACCACGCCAGAGTTCACTTCAACCGAATTAAGACCAGAGTTTGCTTTTTTGGTCTGCATGAGAGTCTGATTGATCATTCACACCTCTCCAAAAGAACCGGACTTTCTAGGAAAACTAGAGTTGCATTGCAGTGGACCAAGCATGTTTTCTGTCCTTTTTATCCTTTCTTTCTGAAAATGCACCATGGGTGAATGGATTAAGAAATAAACTTCCTAAATACAAACGTTTTTGTATTTAAAATCGTCTGTACACTTCTTCCAATGTCAACACAGCTCTTGATAATTGCATTAAATACCTGTATTCAAATATCTTATATCAAGGCTAAAATACTGCTTTTGTGTTTTTTTTCTCTTTGCATTCTATATATTTTTATTTCTTTATACGTTATTTTACTTTTATAACAAACACTTGCGATCCTCTTTATGTACTGTAACTATTGCCAAACTGGCAAGACTTTGACTCAAACTGATGGGAGGCGACACAAGATGTGCCACACTTAATCCCCTCCTGCAAAGTGACGATCCCTTCGACTGGGAGAAGCCATGGCTGAATACTCCCTAAGACTGGCAAGCAGGATAAAATGCTGACAGTGTAAAGCCTGGTATTAGCGGAAAAATCTTTAAAAAAAAAAAAAAAAAAAAAAGAATGAATATGGAAAATCCTAATAGCAGGAAGTAGCAGCCTGGAGCCAGACAAAGGAGTGGAAATCCGTCTCCTATCATGCCGTATGCATAATTCAGTGAGTGGAAAGAGACAAATTCGACATGTAATGCTCCCCTCAACGCCAAGAAACGGAGCAAACAGTCTAATTCTGCTTTAATTGGATAAAAAAACAAACATGTGCTTTTGGGTCTCCCTCCATCACCCGCTTGCATGTTTTTTTTTTCCCCAAATCCAGATTCTCTGCAGATACTAAGTGGTTCTCATGCTTAAGGCTACTATTTGCAGACTAATCTGTAACACAGCAGGGAGCTACCTCAAGAAGCCAGGGTATCTTCCAAACTACTGCAAATGACAGAGTAGTGCGAAGGAAAAAGAAGAAAAAAAAAGCATTTGAAAGTGGAGCAGCATGCTGCAGCCATGCACCACAGATTGGAGATGCAACAATCAATTGGACAGAGATTGGAATAAGCTCATTTTTCCTTCATCAGCTCTGATCAGATTGGCAGTCCCTTGTTCATTAAGCCCAATAAATCTTGCAATTTTTGTTCCATCAATGCACCAACCAATAGGATGTACTACAACCCATCCTCACTGCATCCAAAACACAGCTGCATTCAAAAGTAACCTGCATTCAGTATCTAGCGTGGAGTAAAATCCTGGCATTTGAAAGTTGTGAAGATGTGCATCCATAAAACAGGGCAGAAATGCACCGACCAATCAGACACAGAGCGTACTCCCTGACCGGTGATTTACAGATTTGTTTTTCCCCTAATGCAGTAAAATGTCACTATTCTTGAAGAAATTTATCAACCAAAAGCATCTTTTATGATTCACCATGAATGGTTAGAATAAATTGGAATAATCATACAATTTCTTCATTTTATGTTGGATTCAGAACCAACAGCTCCATCAAAGAACCTACAGCAGTTTTTCATATGCATCACAGTCCTTAAAGGGACAAAATTGAAATAAGCAGTTTAAATTGACAAAAAAAAAAAAAAAAACAAGAACAAGAACAAATGGGCGCAGAAAGGCTCAAAAAGGAGCCTTGCAAGAACACTTTTGACTGTGCATTGCACCCAAAACAGTGTCCCTTTGTGAGTACCCTACATTCAATTCAACAACTCGACAGAGGCTGCAGTTGTTTTAATTTGCTCAACGGGATGACCCTAAAAAAACGGAGAAAAAAGGCCTGAGGGTTAGTGTCGTTTTAACCCCTCACCACAATGTAAATGATCGCAGAAAACGGCCACAATATACACACACACACACACAACACCCCGACTATAAATCTAGTTTCGCATGCCCTCATTTGGCTAATTCTGTCCCTCGATGTAGGCCAAAGAAGAGGGACAGATGGGAATGTCTCCCTTCCTGTCAAATCACTTACATCTCAAACATGATCTCGTTCAGGTAAATCCCATCCACCAACTCGATGTATTCCAACAATTTACTGCCATCGGTCACCGTCGAGTGCCCAACACTCTTTACCTGTAAAAAATAGAAATGGAAAATAAAAGTCCAAATTAACATAAAGAAAAACAAAACAGTGTGATAAATTTTGAGAGTACATGCGAATATTTAATTGAGGGGGGGTCCTCCTTACCCAGCAGACCAGAGGCGTGAGCATGAACTGCTCCAGCAGTGGGGTGAAAACCTCGTTTTCCATATTCTTTTGGTGCCCTTTATGTCAGCTGATATGTGGAGGGAAATATGAGTGAAATATGCATTCATTTACATTCCGCTCATGTTGCTTATTCGACCTTTATTTGGGCTGAAACAAAGCCAAGAAAAAGGGTTTCTTCAAGAAGAAGGGGGAGAAAAAAAACCCGTTAATCCTCAATCTTCTCGACACGACCCAGCTGTGTCAGATGCCAATGAAGGGGCTTGGCTTCCTCTCAGGAAAAAAAAAAAAAAAAAAGAGAGAGAGAGGCATGGAATCACATTTTTCAAAATTAAAACATTAAAAAACGAAGGTATTCTGTGATGCAAGGTCAGCCGGGTTCAGCTAGCTCGGCACAAAAGCGGCGAACCTGTGCCAGGTAAGCTAACTGTGGACCGTTAGTGGCAGAAGATTTCAGCACACGGGAGTAATATTCATCCGAGACGGTTAATTAAAGGGGAAATATCCTGCAGCGAGGCAAATATACATATAAAAATCCTGATGTTTAAGGTCCTCCTTTTCGGGTTGTCGGTTCTCTTCTCGTATTTGTCAATAAAGTGACTTCCAGACGTGGGCTGCAGTCTGACTCCTTTCAAACGCCGAACACTAACTGAGCTGAAGAGTTGAGAGGATGACTGGAGGACACGAAGAACCGCCTCCCTGATCGCCAAGCATCTCCCTCCGCCCTCCCTGCTCAAAGAAAACTAGGGCATGGATCAAAGCATCCTCTTTCTGTTCAAATTTCCTCTGAGTCACTGCAAGGAATACTTCATAGTCAACACTTTATTATGCAAGTAATTTTTATTTATTAGTCTCCAGCAGAATGTGTGGAAAGGAAGCAAGCCAGCTCTTTTTCTGAATAAAAAGCTGTTTATAATCGCTCCACTGGCATAATTTAGATCTTAATGAATATGCAATTGCTTATTGCAGTTCTTTTTAAGCATGCATAGAGGTCATCCTTATTACCCTCTTTGTCTGCATCAATTGCGTGCAGTGTAGGAGTAAACGCAATGATGCTACTGACACCTGGTGGGTAAACACCGAACTCATACAGTGGTGGACACGTGTTGGCATCCTTGTATATGGAATAAATTCATATTTTTCTTTTAGTAGCATAATCTTACGCTGAAAATGTAAGAACTTCTAATTTGGATACCAGGGCCGGAATTACAGCGACGAGGGCCCCTGGGCTTCGGAGTTTTGGTGCCCTGTGTCCACCAAAGAAAACATCAGTGTATGTGAACCGATGTATGGTAGGTTTAATGCCCTGAATAATCTCCAAATGAAACTTCAAAGGATGGGGCACATTTCATCTCCTAAATCTTGTGCTTATTTAACTCTATGGCGAAATTGCACTGTATGTTGGGGGGGAAAAAATCATATCCGTGGTCATTTAGCTTAAGACTATCAGTCAAAAATAATCACATTGAATAAAAGAAGCAAGTCATGACTAAATTAAGTGGATTTAATTTGGACTCTGAAGGAAACTGTTCAACAGGGAGTCACTGTCATGCAAGGCTAAACTGTCAGAAACTTCTTGGGATTTGAGACACCTACTTGATGAACGGCTCTGATTGTGTGAAAACGGAGCAGAGGTCATGTGGCAAAACAGCCAATAAAAAGGCAATCGCTGATATGGGAATTTGGGAAACAGAGTTTCCCAATTGTGTAGTTTGAATAAAGGCATAAGAGATCAGCTAAAACTGTCACTTTAGGCAGCCTTTCCACAGAAATAGTTCTCACTTGCATTCATTATAGCAGACAGTGTTGTCCGTGCTCGTGCCTGAGCATGTGCAGTCAGTTGAAATGGTAAACATGCATTGAAAACTAGATAAATCCTAATTTCCAATGTTGGATAAAACAAAAAAATGTGTGCGTGTGAGTGCGTCCACGTGTGTATGCATGTGGGTATACTGCTGTTGCAAGAGGATTAGATTCTATGAGTTTTAAAGTAAATGACCTAAATACAAGAATATACCACACTTTACAGATTTTTATCTGCTGTAGATTTTCTAAAAACATGCATTGCTGTCATTAAAACTCCCAACAAAGTCCTGTTTGGATTGGTGTATTACATAAAATCCCAACGGAGTACCTTAAAACGTAGTTAAAATGTGACAAATTGTGGAAAACTTAAAAGGCTGCAAACACTTTTTGCACAAGATATTGTCATTTTCCTTGTGTGAAACAAAAGCTTTTGAACATCTGCAAATGAAGTACTTTATTTCAATATATTAAAGTATATATTTAAGTACATTAATTCCCCCTTTTCTAGGGCGCCCACACACATCTCTTACTTACCCCCCCCTCCCCCCATCTCTTTAGCAGACAATTAAACTGTGACGCACCTAATGAAAACCTTTCATTGCTGGTGTCGCTGCAGCTTACCCACACAGCAGCCGGAACACAGTCATTTTCTGCTCCGTCACTGCGGAGGCGTACGGTTTTAAGCTCAGGGGGTTTGTTTGTTATTGTGCGTTAGCGTTTGTGTGGATCTCTGTGGAATTCATCATCATTAACTCTACCGAACGGGGCCTTTGTTCCATCCCCGTCAACATCTGTTGCTCACGATGCTTTCAAGGACTTTCCCAAAGCAGCTTCAGCTTTCATCTGATGAATCAGGGAGTTTATAGACCCGCCGCCACATTCCTCACTTGCAGCATGATAGAAGCAGGGCTCACTGTAAGCCCACCGATCTGATTTTGATTTTCCTTCTGCGGCATAGTGAAATGCTCTTATTCTCTTAAAAGTTAGTTTTGTCAATTAAATCCATTATTTCTGGAGCAGCGTTGCTCGCTGACTAAGAATCGCTGACTAAGAACCTGGATGACCTCAAACCCCTCTCACTGGAGAAATTCTCTTGAGTTATTTTACAAGAAGTTACAAGTTACCACAAGCATTTTTATTTGGAGCTGGTTCTGCACAGCGGTTCTGGCTACGGTCGAGTGGAATTTTCATTTTTCCTGCAGTGACATTTAACCCACAATAATCTTCCCTGCGTACTGGAAGTTCTTGTTTTGGAGTTAAACAAGGAAGTTCAAAATGTGGCCTGTTGAAACATAAGTTTTATGAGCTTTGAATTAAGACTTAAAACATTTTTGCTATGTGAAAAGCTGAGCAAGTTCTTGCAGTGCCAAAATGTAATAAATAAAATGAAGTTAAAAAAAGTGATCTGCCAACAATTAATTGAAAGATATATTAGATACATCATTGAATATGAAATTAGTTAATAAAGAAATCAAATTCAGTTCAAATCAAATCATGTTATTGACTTTTTTTTTCATTTTTACTTTACATCATGAATAATTCAAATTTCTCAGACTCGTCAAATAAATCCTAACATCTGGTTAGATAATCAGTCCACTTCACACTTAAATTAAAATGATTTAAAGACAATATTGTATAAACAAATTTAAATTTGAAGGTTTATTAAGGTTTGAAGGTCAACCAGAGGACATTTGTAGACTATTTTTACTGAAATATTAGGAGTATGGCTGTAAAATGTTTTATATCCAGGATTGTACATGAAAATAAAAATCTAAATGTATGACTACACGGTTATGGAGTCCTGAAAAAAACAAAACAAAAAAAAAACCCTGCAGCCGCCACACATATACATTACCCATGGATCCCATTGAGAAAACACAGTTACTAAATTATTTATATGTGTCACTTCAGTGTTTGCTCATAAGGCGACTCTGACGTCCACTCTGTCTTTGACCTGCCATGTTGTCATAGGAAATCAACTCTCAGAGGATCCATTCAAAATCAAGATGGATGCTCCCAGTCAGGTCAAGACTGCGTAGCAATAAATGGCCATGCACATGAAATATGTTATATTCTGCTAGGACGCTGAGATATAATGCCACAGCATGAAAATGACTGAAAAGTAATTTATTCCCACCCAAAAATGTATCTTTTTATTTCATTTAATGTGTTTTTAAAATCGGTTACCAAACTATGAACTATAATCTCTGGATTTAAGTCACATTTGAGATTTATTAAAGCTTATGCAATGTTACCGTATCAAATATTATTCATATTTGGGATTGATATGTGAAAAAATTATTATTATTATTTTTTGTTACATTTAAATGTTTCAGATTATAAAAGAAATCTCAATACCAGAGAAAATATAAATAAAAAAATGCAATTTTCAAGCAATGATTTTAATTATCAGAGGAAAATGAAACCAGTTAACTGTTTGCTGCAAAAACTCTCATCAGGTATTTGCGATAATTGCCTATGAGTCATACATTGTTGTGAAGGAGTTTTGGAGTTCGTGTACATGTTTTATTTCAGCTATATTGGTCATGGCACACTATCAAAATCAGATTGAAGCCCAGACTTTGACTAGGCCACTCTAAAATCTTAACTTAGCTTTTTTTCTCTCCCCCAAATCATTCAGAGGACTTGTTGCTGCTCCACAGACAATAGTCCAGTTCTGAGAGGCTAGATTTTCTGCTTTGAGGCTTTCTGCTAAAGAGAAGAATTCATGGTTCCATTTGCTCTTTGTAAGTCATCTGGGTCCTGAAGCGGCAAAATGCCCCCAGATCATGACACTACTACCACCGTGTTGGACTGTAGGTGTAATATTCTTCTTCTGAATTACTGCTGTACATTTCTCTCATCAGTTCAAGGAACCATTTCTCTTAAGTTGTAAGGATCATAAAGAGATGTTTGGTAAATGTCAGATACAACTTTGAGTTCTTTTTGGTCAGCAGTTTTGGTTTTGGTCTTGAAATAGGAATAATTTTATCCCAGTTTTTTTTTAATCATTGTTAAATTGTGAACGCTGACCTTAACTGAGGGAAGTGAGGTCTGCAATGCTTTTGTAACCTTTGCCAGACTGATAAATGTTTAAAGACAATTATTTCTTAGGATTCGGACACTGTGCATTGCTTTTTGAAATATCTTGGCCTACTTCGTGTTGTCTGAGAGGTTCTCTTTAAGTGATTTCTGGAGTTCTGATCTGATATTTTTAGACACCTTTGATGCTGGGAGATTTGTACAACTGTATTCCTCCAAATGCACAAATCTTTCAACAGTTCTTTCTTTCTTTCTTTCTTTTTTTTACATTCATCCGAGAGGGGAGCGATGTGGAAGTTTGCCATCTGCCACAATGTAATTATCACGCTTCTGACAAAGAAAATCATGTCCTACCAGTTCAGGGTGCCAAGAGCTGTCTATCTGACTTCTATCATGCCTTTGCATGTCAGTTAGATCATTCACAGGGATTTTATTACTACACAAGGAGCAATAAAACCTCACTACAGAGAGTACTATGATACAAACTGAGCATCATTGATGATAAAACTTTCTTCGCCTAAGGATGAGGTCCTCTTGGAATAGCAGATCAAACCTGGTGAGTTACAAACAAAATGTATTGCAAGTCTGCACACATGCATTTGTTCACCGAATTCTTATAGGAGAGATAATCTCCATGTACATGTGCAGCTTGTTCAATGTTGCAGCCTGACAACTACAAATTCATGCAAGCCCTCTGAGTATTGAAGGGGTGAAAACATGCAGACGCTTAAGTTTGCACGGGTCAATGGGCACTTCCACAACCCCCAACCATATATGTCATATTTTATTGCCATTTTGTATCTTTAAGTAAGAAACTTGTGAGTGTTTATTTTAGT